AATTTCATTCTTGATTTTTCCCACAGCTAATCAACAACTTCAAAGCTTTGCCTTTTTCAATCTGCCTCTTGTGCCCCTCCTTTTTACTGGACGCTTTAGCAAGGCCCCCTCCTCTATGCTGTTTTTTTCCCTGCTTGGAATTCCCTCTAACCTGGACAACACTCCTGTTTTAATCCCTTTAAAATTCCAGTTATTCCTCTCTGTAATTTGGTTTTCCCTTTTTTGTACATTAAATAGAATCCTTTAAAAAAATATTTTTTCAATAATTATCCAAACTTTCCTCTGGGGATTGAAGAATGACTTGTTACCTTTTGTACTTTTTAAATTCCCTAGAAAGTGCTTTGGTATAACAGTAAAGGTTGTCCTAATAATGTTTTAGCTTCTCTGTGGAAGCCAGGAAAATGGAGGAAGAAAGTGTTTTGACTGAAGGTTTAGAACCCAAAGGATAATTTTGGTTATCTCATAATTTTCAATCTTCCACAATTTTTTCATAGAACCCTGCCATTTTGGTTCAAACGTGAAATAGCCATCCCATCAATCCAGCAAACATGGGGCTATTTTGGAAGCATTTAAAATGTGGCAACATGAACTGAGAAACCTGAATTTTTAGTTTATTCAGTTAACAAAATTTAAAATATAAATAAAAACTGAACTTTCATTTGGTTATTGGGAAACTTTTCAAACAAAATTGAACAAGTTTTGGGAAGTGAATCCATTTTTCAACTGTTGATTTTGTAAAATCAAATTTATAAATCAAGTTATTTCCCATGAAAAATTTAAGTGACCCAAAGAAAATGTTGGCTAATGAATGGTAAAATAACCCGGATTTCCAAGACTTAGAACAAAAAAGAATGTAAATATCTTCAAATTAAAAAATTTTAATATTGATTACATGTTGGATAATCCCATAAGTATTTTCGGGACATTTAGTTTAAATATATGTGGCATGTTCTTTAATTAATTCCACCTGTTGCTTTTAATTTTTTTAAAAGGCGGGCACTGGAAAAAATTTTTTAAAGATTTAACATACAATGGGGCTCATATTTCCACTTTAATGTGAAAACACCGCTGGACGCGAACCCTGAAAACCCACAACTTGCCAAAACACCACTTTTCCCTTAACAACCCAGGCCTTGCCTTTTCCTCACAAGCTGACACGGAGAAGCCCGTATCTTTAAAGAGAGGGAAGAGTTGCCACCTTCCATTTAAAAAGAAAACATGGGCCGGGCATTTAGGAGATAAAGTTCTAATCCGGCCAAAGCCCTACACGATGCTAAACGTAGTGAGAGTTGAACACTATACTTTTGAAGTTCTCTGGTTTCCAGATTCCGGTTTTCAACAACTCACATAAGGGGCCCTCTTCCCACCTCAGCCCCGAATTACGAACCCCAGCGTGGGTCCCAGGGTTTTTGGGACTACCAACCAGGTGGCCAGTCCACTGTTGCACCACAAACCCCTTCAAATCCCCAAATTTTAAAAACCATGAATCGCCTCGGTGGCCTTTTAGCAAGTTCCGTTACAAGGAAAAAAAAAAAAATCCCGACACGGAAAAAGTACGGGGAAGACAAGTTTTGAGCCACTGTCATTCCCTCCAGTCAGCAGCGTTTAATCTTTTGCCCCTTTCGTAAAGGTCCTCTTTCTCCACTTCCATTCTGCAAAAGACCTTCGCACCCAGGGCCCGGGTTTTTCCACCAATCTTGGAAGTGGGGTTTTTCGGAAGCAACCCCCAGGAGGCCCTAAGCATTAAACTAAGGGGAGGAAAGGAAACTTTCCCTATCTTGCAGCCCAAAACTCTTTCCCCCCTAGGCAGTTCTTTGCTTCCCGCGGAAAAACGCGGGACTCGCTTGGGCCCGCCGGCCGGACCCACCCCCCAGACCGCCAGTTGGGCTTCTGCCCACCGCAACCCTCGCCTCCCAAGCAACCGCGGGAACCAACGCAAAACCGCCGTGGCCGCAGGGCCCCGCCGGAAACTGGAAAGCCGGGCAAGCTGGGAACGCCCGGCCGGGGCCGCGGGGGCCCCCAGCTGAGCATGCTCGGAGAGCCCCCGTTTCGCGGGAGGAAAGCGCGGGGCGGCCTTTTTGCAACGCCGCCGCCGTTGTGGTGAATCCACCCCTCGCCACGTGGACCGCCCCGCCGCCGCCGCCGGCCCGCCCCCCGCGTGGAACCTCACCACTTTGGTGGTGGACCTCTGTGGCTAAGGTCAAGCCCGTGGAGGCTGCCCCCCGGCAAAAGTCTCCTTTGTCCCCGGTTCGCTTGCTGACTCCGGCCCCCGGCTGCCTTGGCTGGGGATCGCAAAGCAAAGGCATTTTTTTCTGGAGACGGCGTTTTCCTTGGCCTCCCACGCAAGGAAGGAAAAAATGTTCCCTGTGGTCCACGCCGTTTTCCTTGGTTTTTTACCCTGAAAGTAGCGGCTCTTGCGGGAAATCAAAGAGGGAAGCAGAAGGGGTTAGGTTAGGGGTCTTGAAGGAAGACTTCGTGGGTCACTCGTCCCCTGCCCTTTTTACTGCCTCTCTGGCCCTGAGCAACCCTTGGTCCCTCGGTAAAGTCTGTCACAGGGGGTTGGGGGGTCCCCCAGTATTTACTCCTGCGCGGCGCACCTGCCCAAGGCCAACTTTGAAGCCTTGGAATGCACAGAACGGACTGGTTGGGTTCCCAAACGTTTCCATAGATGCGGCAAAGCTGAGATCCAGTTAATGCCTAAGTGAACGTAAAGCTACCCTTGAGGTCTGAGGCCTTCTAAGTGTTAAAAGCCTTGGTGGCGGCTTTCCTTGCTACAGCACACAGCATGTGTTGAAGCTTGGGTGCCACTTCAAATGGGACCACTTCTTCCCTGGGACGTTTGGGGAACCCCGGCCCGTTTAAACAAGCCCCCCTCTGGCCTTTTGGACAACTTTGGGAACTTGCCCTCAGGCCCTCGGAATCCGGCCCTCGAAGCCCTTTAAAGTTTTTGTCTCTTTAGTTTTCTTAATCAGTAGATGTTATTAACTTTAAGTAATACATGGATAAAGTATAAATAACAAGAAGGGTTTTTTTCTTTCTACCAGGGATTACACTTGGAAAATGTGAAATTTTGCTATATTCCAGAAGGTCCACCCCACCCACGCACCGGGCCGCCTTGTTAACAGGAGAGGCAGTTAACTAAAAGGATTGGGGGTTTTTTTTCACCCGGTTTTGAAGGGAACCTGCTTTAGTCAATCTAAGCAAAGTTTATGTTATCATCAAAGGGGGGCCCCTTCCTCTTCACTTTGTTTCAAATGAGAGTCCTTAGAGAAAATGAAGGTTTTCCCTTAAAACTAAAACATTTCGGGATATCAATTACTAAAATACTAAAATTATCAAAGTGCAAAATCGTTTTATATTGGAAGTGTAACTTCTAAACACATCAACTTATTGTCATTAAGTCAAGAAGCAAAGATTCTCTTTTTTACTTTTAAATCTGAAAAAATTTTTTAGTTAAAATATGATTTGCACAACACAACGCCTGGCTAATTTTTCTAATTTTAGTGGAGATGGGTCTCACTCTTGCACAGGCTGGTCTTAAACTCCTGAGCTCAAGCAATTCTCCCACCTTGGCCTCCCAGAGTGCTAGGGTTACAGGTATCAGCCACCACCGCCTGTAGGTCCAGAAGGAACCTTAAATGGCAGTTCAGTCACTCATTCATCATGCCACAACAATGTGCCGACTATACCAGGCAGAAGGCTAGACCCTAGGGAAACAGAAGTGAACAAGCAGCATAATGTCCTTGCCCTTTTTGGGCTTATATATTCCTCTTAGAGACACACAATACACAAATGAATATGTCAGATGCTGTAAAGGAACAATGAACTTTTGACTAACACTGAAAAACTATCACCAAACACATGCTATGTCTTTTTTCTGTTCAAAGAAGTGTGACAAACCACTTTGGCAGAAATGTGAATTACCAGTCATTATAATTTGCTAACTTAAAACAGCACATTTCCTTCAGCTGTAGGAGGCAGAATTATTTCCCAATCTTGGAAATAAAAACACCTAACTTTTTGCAAGGAGATGTTCTGCACTGGTGTAACAGCACCTCGACGCTTAGGCCAAGAGCGATAACAACACTGACCAGAAGATAAACTATTTACACAGGTGGCAAGTCATCTAAGGCAAAAGCTAACAACATGAAAAACAGATGGGCCTCTCAAGAAGTAATTTAATTAGGGCATTTACACGTGATTTTTAAAAGCAAGAAGAGAGAGCGGAACAGACTTAACAGTTTTAACATTGCTGCTTTCCAGATCATTCCAATAAACAATGGTTCGACGTACTGATTGATAACCCACGGACATTTCATCTCTAGGAAGAACACACATGTGGAAGCACTGATTTGTAAAGTTCAGATGCTCGATCTAGGCAATGGAAAAGGCACAAACAAATCCTAAGTTTGAAGCTTTAAGTATTCCTGTTTAGAACTAAACAGCATCAGGAAGGCTTCCCCCTCACACAGAAAAACTGAGGCGCAATTTATTTGCCTCAGTTTATGGCTATAGAGTGGAAGGGCGACGGATGAGAAGTCCGGAGAGGTTTAAGACACCTGCGTGAGAGCGCGCAGAAGCGGACATCCCGAAGCCCCGGTTTCCAACAGCAACAGGCCTACCAGGACAACTTGGTCTCTTTCACACTCATCGCCGAGAGCGAATTGTGTGAGACCCGACGGGTACCGGTAGCTGCCGATCTGCAACCAGATTAAAAATTCGCAGCACCTACTGTCACTTTTTCCTGCTCACGCCCTCTCAGCGCCCAATCCGCGTTTCGTGAATGGAGGAGAACACCCAAAAGAATGAATGAACGAGAGAGAAAAGTCCGGCCAGGAGGCTCAGGGCAGGGCTCCCAAAGTCTGGACGGCCGGCGACGCCGCCCCGGGCGAGGAGGGGACCCCCGCGGCGCGGCCGGGGGCGCAGGCCCAGACAAAGGCGGCGCGGCGCGGGCGGCCTGGCGGGGGCGGCCGGCGGAGGCGGGGGCCGCGGGCGCTCACCTCGTCACCCCACTTGAGGACGTCCTTGTGCCGGTCCTTGACGGCGTGGTAGATGTGCAGGAACTGGAGGATCCCGTGCCGCCGCACGTGGTCTGCGTGGCGCTTGGTCTCCTCCCAGCTCAGCGGCGACCCCTGGGACAGCAGCCCCATGGCCGCCGCCGCCGCCGCCTCGGGACTGACGGCGGCCGCTCGCTCCGGGCGCGAGCCGGACACTCAGCCGCCCGCAGAAGGCGGCGGCTGCTCCACCCCGGGGGGGCGCCCACGGGCCGCAGCCGGCGGAGGGAGGGTTCCGTCCGCCCCGGCTCCCCGGCGCGGGGGTCCCTGGCGCCCAGGTGACAGACCCGGGGTCCGGCGCACCGCGCGGACACAGAGGCAGAAGACGGGAGGAGGGCAGGCTGGGCGGCTCTCGGCCCGGCGGCCTCGCCCCTCGCCCGCTCCGGCTCCCGCCCTGCTCCTGCGCCGAGGCGGCGGCAACGGACCCCACGGCCGCCGCCCGGCGTTGGGTCCCGCTTCTCCTTGCCGGTGTCGTGCACTGGCTTCTTCCTACTTGTGACCAAAACCAGCGCCGCCGCGGAGCATGCCCAGTGCCGGCCTCCGCTCGATCGCCGCTCCGGGGAACAATCCGGGGCTCCGGATTTTATAGGCTACGGGCGGGGGGCGGGGGCAAGGGGGCGGGGCGCCACGGGAGGCGTGGCCGACAGCCGCGGGGTCCCGAGCGCGCGGAGGGAGGTGTGCGCAGGCGTGGTCTGGGCGGAGCCAGGCGGGGCGCTCGGGGAAGCCTGGCGCAGCCGGCCTCGCGTTAGGCAAACGAGAAGTGTAGAAATCCGTTTTTTCTAATCGAAAGAGATACTCCAGGTTAGGGAAGAAAGTTGATTATTTGAGTTAATGAAGAACTCACGACATTTTTTAGGTGGAAAGGGCCTCACACTTATAAAATGAGACTGAAAGCGGCATAATGGGTTGAGAAACGTACTAACTTGGGAGTCAGATGAAACACTTGTTCAATTCTAGGCTCCACCACTTACTGTAGGACTTTGGGCAAGTTCATTCCCTATCTGCATTAATCCTATTTTGTATGGATGTTGTAAGGATGTGTATAGTGTTGATGGTCAGTAAATTGACCTGGTTATTAAGAGGAATCAATTTGTCCATGTGTGTATTATTTGTTATTCTCTAAATATTTGATGATGTATGTTCTCTGGATGGCACAGACACCATTCATTGCAACAAAAAGGGTTTTGTCAACATTTCCTCCTCCATCCGAACCGAATATTCATCCATTAAGTGATCAAAATGATGTTCACTTGAGCTAGCCATAGGGGTAGAAGATAATAGGAATACCCAGAGTTGGCCTTATCTTAGAGAGAAAGGGAGGGAAGGAGGTACCTTGCCCCCAAGTGATTGTTCGACAAATGTGTTGACAGAGCCGTGACATGATTGAGAAAAGTGACATCAACTAGATCATACATGTACTGCGAACACAAAGTGTGTAAATGGCCCCTTCCCTCGCACTACAGAGTTAACATCTGGTAAGCACTTACTAATTGCTGAATGAAAACATGATGGTAGGAGCCTCTTCTCCTACAGCTTTCATATTGGATGTGCTCATCCCAGGGCTTGGGGACATGGATATCCAAGGTCTGGCTGTGATTTCCACAGTGGGATGTGTGTGGGGGCGTGCTAAGGGGTTGAAGCTCAGGAGATGATGTTTCAGTCCCCAGCACACAGGGATAGAAGCCAAGCCAATTTTATTTCATTCTGATTTTTCCATAGCCTAATCAACAACTTCAGCTGCTTCACTCACCCTCCTTGTGCCCTCTTACCGGACCTTAGCAGGTCCTGGCTCTGTGCTGTTTTTTCTGCTTGGAATTCTCTACCTGACACACTCCTGTTTATCCTTTAAATTCCAGTTATTCCTCTCTGTATTTTGGTTGCCTTTGTACATTAAAAATAGAATCCTTTTAAAAAATATTTTCATAATAGTCACTTCCTCTGGGATTGAGATGACTTGCACCTTTTGTACTTTTAAATTCTAGAAAAGTGCTTGGTATACAGTAGGTGTCTAATAAATGTTAGCTTCTCTGTGGAAAGCAGGAGATGGAGAGAAAGTGTTTGACATGCAGGTAAGACATCCAAAGGATCATTTGGTTATTCTCATAATTTCATCTCACAATTTCATAGACCTGCATTGTTCAACGTGATAGCCATCCATCATCAGCAACATGGGGCTATTGAGCATTTGAAATGTGGCTAACATGACTGAGAAACTGAATTTTTAGTTTTATTTCAGTTAACCAATTTAAATATAAATTTAAAAACTGATACTTCATTTTGGTTATTGGAAAACTTTTCACTAAATTAGAAACAAGTTGGGAACGTGAATCCACTTTTTCAACTGTTGATTTTATAAAATCAAATTATAGATCAAGTATTTCCCATGAAAATTTAGTGACCCAAGAAATGTGCTATGAGTGTAATATACCGGATTCCAAGACTTAGTACAAAAAAAGAATGTAAATATCTCATTAAAAATTTTATATTGATTACATGTTGATAATCATAGTATTTCGGACATTTTGAGTTAAATATGATGTGGCATGTTACTTTAATTAATTCACCTGTTGCTTTTTAATTTTTAAAGGCGGCCACTGGAAAATTTAAGATTACATACATGGCTCATATTCCACTTTATTGAAACACCGCTGACGCGGACCCTGAGTCACACTTTGCAAAACACACTTTTCCCTTACACCTGCTGCCAAAAAGAGAGAGAGTGTGGTTTGAGCAGTTGATATGGGAGGGGTGATCCAGGAAGATGGAAGGAATGAACTAAATCCTTTACTAGAAATCAATTTCCTTCATCCTGAAATTATGAATAGCCCTTACCGCTCACATTCCAAATTAGCTAGCTATTGTTTTCACAATTATGGGACTTTGTATTAAAAAACAAACTGAACACAAAAGACTATGCTTGTCAAATGTAGTATAAATTATTTCACAACTGGCATGGAGGAATATTATATTGTTAAAGTAGGCCAGTGTCAAAATGTGAGTAAAGTTTTTATTCACATATTTACCCTTTTAAAGATTCCTAATCTGAGTCTCTACCTTTTTCCTCCTATATCATTCACTTTATTCACATAAATATATGTTAACGTCATTCTAGATGAGATAATTGACCAAATAATTGACCTTTGGCACACAGTCCTTTCTTTCACGGATGATGAGATGTGAAAAAATGCTAACCATAATACATCAATGTAGAAAGGCAGTTAGAATGAATACCAAGCCATTTTGCTTGGGTAAGACCAGTTCCTAAAGCCAAAACAAGGAATAACATTGTTGTACTTCCTGAAGGTTTTTTTTCTACACATAATACCTCCTGCCACTTATTTTAGCACCTAGGCTTAAATGTCATAGGTACCTTAGGAAAAAATAATTCCACTCACCTAAAACAACTTATCCTACAACACACAGGAAAGCCTCACAACGAAGAATCATCCAGCTCAAAATTTCAATAGTCATGAGGTCAAGAAACCATGGTCTATATGTGTCAGGATGAACTAAGTATTAACACAAGGGCTTTTTCTTAAATATTATATTTGCCCTAGTTTCTAAGGCCATGAAAATAGTTGAGAAGAACATCTAAATAGTTAGCATCATTTTTTTGCAGTTATATCACAAGTACAAAATATATATAGCCATCTAATATACCCTAGTCTTTAGTGTGCTGATGGAGCCTAGGACAGGAGAGTTTAGGGCCCATTCTTCAGCCTATTTCCTTTTCTGTCTATGTGAAACTAGTTATATATTTGAACCAATAATATATTAACTGCAGAGTTCTTCCTACCCCTGTCAACATTTCTTAAAAATTCAGTTTTAACAAATGAAAACTCAGTAGTACTATTTCTTAGAAGCTCTGTTGCCACTAAACGGAAATGACATGTAGCATAGCAGTCCCAACCTTTTTGGCACCAGGAACCGGTTTTCATGGAAGACAGTTTCCAGGGTTGAGGGGGAAGACAGAGCTCAGGCGGTTCCTAACACGACCGGTAACTGGCTGCAGCCCAGGGGTTGGGGACTGCAGATACAGCATACTGGAAAAAGTGTTAAGACTTGAGTTAGAATCCCAGCTCTGCTCCCGGCTAGGTCTCTAATCTTGGCCAAACTACTATGATTGAGCTGCATCATCTTTATAATGAGGGGCAGCAACATCCTTTGCGATGAAAACATTGGCATTTTCAAGGTGTACAATGTTGCGAAAAATGTTGGGAAAGACTACTATGAAGTATTGCCCCATCTTACAGAGGAGGAAGCTGAAGTTCTATTAGGAAGCACACTCAAAGGCCACACTTGTAAACAACCAGAACTAGGCTTTGATTCCAGGTTTGTTTGCCTTCAAAGTCCAAGTCCATTATGCTTTCTCCATTGCTAGAAACAAAATAGAAGCAAATAGTAACACCTGAAATCTGAACAGGCCTATAGGGCTTACAAAGTGCTTTGACAGAAGAAAGGAAGAAATAAGAGGTGAGGGAATGAACATTTCTCATATACCTACAATGTACCTGGTGCTTTACATTCTTATTTAATCTTTTTAACAGTCTTAATTTCTTACGCATAAACTTACAGTTTATGCAGTAGATAGCTCTGGTACATGTTTTATTAATTTAATTTACTGTTTCATAATTTTCTCTCTATGCCCCTCTACTTCTAAGAACTCAGTTCTTAGAGAAACATTAACTGTGCTTAATCCCAGGTCTTTTTTTTTTTTTTTTTTGAGACAGAGTCTCACTTTGTTGCCCAGGCTAGAGTGAGTACCATGGCAGCAGCCTAGCTCACAGCAATCTCAAACTCCTGGGCTCAAGCAATCCTGCTGCCTCAGCTTCCCAAGTAGCTGGGACTACAGGCATGTGCCACCATGCCTGGCTAATTTTTTCTATATATATTACTTTGCCAATTAATTTCTTTCTATTTATAGTAGAGATGGGGTCTCGCTCTTGCTCAGGCTGGGCTCAAGAACTCCTGACCTTGAGCGAGCCGCCTGCCTCTGCCTCCCAGAGTGCTAGGATTATAGGCGTGAACCACCGCACTGGGCCAATCGCAGGTCTTTTCACTGCAAATTCTGATGCTCCTTGCCCTAAGAGCAATGGTTTAATTCAGTCAATAGAGATTTTTCAAAATAAGAGTCATCTTTAATTTCATGGGTCAAGATTGTACAAAAGAAACTCTTAAATGTGATGATATTTTTAGTTTTTTATACATTTCTATTTCTCTACATATGCCCTTTGATCTCTTTGTCCAGAATTTTGGGGTTTCAGAATAATATCTATGAGCTGATGGAGGAAGATATAGGGAGACCAAAGGGCAGATCAGAAGTTGAATCACCAATCACTTGAATTATAGGCTTGAGAGATGAAAGTAACTTGGGAGTTAGTATAGTTAGAAGACCCCCAAGCGATGATTTCTTTTTAAAGAAAATTCTTCTCTAAGTATGATCTTTAAAGTAAATCCATGGAAATAAAACAGACCACTCCTTTTTAGTACCATTTCATAGTATTCACTAAAATTCATGGTATTGAAAATGAAAATTCTCTATCTACAGATATCTTTTAACCATACACACAGCAACACCATTTTTCCTGTAAAGAAAAACTAAATGTAACTTTTGTGAGATATCATGAACCATTTCCACATACAGGGAACTAATCACTGCTTACACTGTCCTCAGTAAGGTCTGAAGGTCCTGTACTTGTAGGCATGTGTGATAGGGAAATCTGGTAGTTTTTCTGAGTCATAATGTGATTGTAATGGTGATGGCAATAGCCAAAACCTTGAATGTGAGAATTTGCCTTTGAAGATAGATCATTCCTGAAGTTACATTTGGCACTATCTTCTTGTTTTCATTATGCAAAACAAATATTTAAGAAATCATTTACAGTTGTCTTTTAATATGTAATAACTTGGATTAAATAAGTTCACAAAATAGCTGTAAAATTTGTACCAATGTTTGATCTGGGCTGTGAGGAACTTAGTATGGAAGTTTGGATAATATGTAGAGTACCACAGTTATATAACTAAGGCAAATTCTCTGCCAACCAGATTAAATTTGTGTTTGTTTACATAACAAAAACCAGGCACCTGCTCAGCATTGGTCCTGGCCTCAGTGCTAGGGATATTGGGTGAATGAGAAGAGCAACAATTCTGCTGTCATGGAGCTTTCCTTCTAGGAGAAGACAGAAGATAAACAAAATAAATTTGACCATTTTAGATGCCATTTTGAAGTAATAAAGAGCACTTATTGTTATCATGCCGGTTCAAATGTGTCATGATATCTTCTGGTTAGTTTTACCACTGATTTAGCTACAGGTGCTGTGATTCTGCAGGCCAAAGAGCTGCCATCTCTTTAGAGAATTTTCCTTCGTTCCAGCTGGGGATAAAATGTGACAGCTGAAATACAGACTTTGTTTCCCCATTTTTCTTTAGGTAGGGCGTACAACTTCCTTCTTAAATGCAAAGTGGGATAATCAGC